AGTCCAGTGATTCTGAACGTGGGGCGCACGCCCCACAGGGGGGCAATTTGAAAATGCTACAATAAGAAAATTTTTTCATTTGGGTGTGAAGAGCGAAAAACGTTCCGTGACTCAAAACTAAATTTTTACATTATATTATTATACCTTTTCAACACCAAATTTGTTTTTATATTAAGGGGGCATCAAATTTTTTGAGGTGTCGAGGTGGGGCATGGAGCAAAAAAGGTTAAGAACCACTTCTCTAGTCTATCATTTCAAAATTATGAACAGCTGGCGCAAAAAACAAACAATTATTAATATCCACGTTGTTGCTGTTTGAGTAAAATTTTAGAAAAGAAAAAAAAAAAGAGTTTTAGTATGAGATCGTATATAAAACTATTGATCACACTCACTTCTCATAGAACGTTATGTGTATTTGTTTTAATAAAGCAGCCTAACAGATGAGACTGTTCACTGTCCAAAGCTGCACACAAAACATTTTTCATGCATTGAAATTTTTTTTTTTTTAGGATTTCAATGCCTGACAATGTAACCCTGACGACAGAATCTGAGGAGTCTTTCCTACAAACCCTTAATTGGTTTGACCTTGACGCCAGATTTTATAAACATTATACGTAAAAAACTGTGTCAGTGGCTGCCGAAGAAGATTGGGGCCCAAATGTAGCTGGGAGTTAAATTTTCAAGGTCTACGCGCGCTATTTGTAGCTGTATATTATAGAAAAAAAATTTCATCGGTTTATTTGTTTGTTCTTGAATTTCGAGCATAGCTACTCAAGGGTTATCAGCGCTAGCCGTTCCTAATTTAGAAGCGGAATATTGGGCTATTCTTACCAACGATGAGTGGGATTGACTGTAAAAAGTATTATGTTTGGTGACAGGATTCGAACTCGTGACCCGCAAATAATACAATTTGTGATATGTAATTAGAATTTCAAGATTTATACATCGGAATTAATATTTAAATTTTTTTTCTTTTATATCATTCGTGGCTAACAGGAGTAGTAACTTATTCCTAGTTTGTGCAGTAAATTACGGATTTTAAGATTATTTGGTTTAGATTGTACTCAAACTCTTTTAATTAGGGAAGTTTGAAATATATATATATATTCGTATGTGTGGCT